CGGCTTTGATTACTCAGCGGGTGATGTCCCACTTTCCACAAGTGTGAGCTCAGCAGTCAGCCTGTGTGGTGCAATGTGGCATTAAGGAGTTGGAAATGTGCTGCCTTTCAGCTGAACAGCAAAACCGAGGCTTGTACAACAGTTATTGTCTTACATCAGTCCAAAAAACAAACCATGGTGGCTGGGCCAGTTTCAGCAGAGCCTGTCTCGGCTATTTCTGCACTTYAGGCAGTGCTACGGAGCAAAGTAAAGTGCCTCCAGACACACGAGCCCTTTCTTACAATTGTGTCGTGTACGTGGGGGATATGCTACTTACCGGGGGTGTTTGAAGGCCTGGCCTGGAACGAGCTGAGTCTGTGTTTACTTACTTCCTTGTTGCCTTTTGGGGTTGAAGTACAAGTAACCCTGGGGCTTTGTTGCTTCTCTTGGAGGGAATTTGCTTTGGAAGGGCTCAGGCAGACCGAGCAAACTCCTCGCATGTGCAGACCATAGCAGCAGTTAAGCCAGTTTCAATATTCTGTCATATTTCAACTGTGGCTTGATGGAAGAATTTATCTAACATTTAATTTAGTTGCTTCTTCTACTAAATCCTGCAGCGTGAAAGGAGACAAGAAGAGATTATGAAGAGATCTCTGCTCCCTCCATTAAGATGCTTGGAGAGTTACACATTCAGGCTGTTTTGTCACTCTAGTTTGACACTGAAGTTGCATTCCCCGTTTGTTGTTGCAAATGCTTTCTCTCACTGGTGTCTTTTAAGTCAAAAAATGTGTTGTGGTTCCTTTCTTAAGCATATGCTGCCCTGTCTAAAGCAAATTATGTAAAGTGCAGGACTGAAGGGTTGTTCTACTTGTGCTAAACAGTTCCACTGCCCTTCAGTAATCTCTCCTAGAACTCCCTGGAGGAAAAAACTCTGTATAAAGCGAACTAAAAATCAATCCCAGTATACCTTTTCTCATTCTTTTCCTTTTTCTCGAATGTGGTTCAGAAGATAGAAAGGCTTTTTATCAAATTATCAGATTAGTTTGCATGGCAATATAGAAGATATATTGAGTATGGCTACTTTTAATCCAAAGTTGTTCACCTTTTGGCGCACACAATGCTCTACCTTCCTTTGAAAGGGCAGAAAGATAAACTGCAGAAATGATGCTGTTCATCTAAATTTATAGACCTAGACCAAGATTTCTTAAACTGACTAATAATTTATTTGAGCATGATTTGAAATCCCCTGAAGGAGTCTGATTTTTGGAGAGAGCCGAGTGGCCTTTCTTTCAGTGCTGGATCCCTTTAAAGCAGCCTCTTCAGATCAGCAGTTGCTTTTGGAAATCATCTCAAGTATAACTAAACTGACGCTGTTGCATTAATTTTAGGTAAATCTCAAATTCTGTGCACGATCTGAAATATTTTCAGCAGTACTCGAGGCTGTYTTGATGTTCACCACTGAAGTTAGCAGGAGAGGCAGGATTTCAGTGGGAGCAGAGCTAAGTCAGCAATGCAGAAACTTGAAATCCCGCTTCTAGACTGAGCACGAAGAACTGCAAAAGCAACTTCTGAGTTGGTGTGAGAGAGCAATGCTGCTGCAAAGGTAATGTGGCCTGTGAACAACAGTGSTTAGAGGCTGCTGCTGTGTGCCTTTGTGAGAGCTGAGAATGCAAGGATCTCAATAACAGGTTTTTCCAGCTTGGATTCATGAGAGACCTCCCCATGAAATCATATTATTCACGTTATGCTCTTCTGTCATGTGATTACAAGATAAAATCCTGACGTGAGACCCAACTTTGTCATTTTTACAAATAAATGCGCAAGTCTCCGGGTAGCCGCAGCACAAGACACTGCAGTACAAGACTTGGTAGAACAGATCCTGTAGATAGAGTATTTGTCACACGTGTATGGGCAGATAAGTTGGAGGAGGGTTATGTGTGTCTGCCATAAACATGTTGTTTTTAAATTAGGGGGGTTAAAAGTAACCCCCTAATTTAAAACCAGCAAAAAGAGACACTTTAATTGGAGTAAAAATCAGAATCTAAAATTACCTGATTAAGAAATACCTATTTTATCATATACCACAACTATTTTGCTCTGTTGTAGAGCAAAATCAGAGTTTCCCTGATGTGACTAGCAACTATATCAAATCCCTCTAAGGCTTCAGTCTTGCATGTAATTGGGCTAATTCTCCCGAGACTTTTTTAGTGACGTTAGCTAGCAACTTGGAGGAGTTTTAATTGCACAAGCGTGGTGGAAGATGGGGCAGTTTGCATAAGGAAAACCAAATGTATTTYGGGAATGTTTGAAGGAAGGGTGTGTGCCTGCGCCAGAATCTGCTGTTTTAACTAGCTTCTAGCTCCGGTGTGCTGGCACTTCCAAAGCTCCCTGGCCCTGGAAGTGTATACAARTAGGAATTTCATATAGGGAAATAAGCTGAAACCTTCAAGTGCCTGGAGACAATTTGGTTTAGGTATTCTCCTCCTGAAGGATGAGATTTAGGATACTGAGTGCTGCCCCAAAGTGCTCTAAGGTCTAAGAACAGAAAGCTCCTCGGAGCCAGGACCTGCTGGAATTTTGTTGGAGCAGCTCTTGCTAGATCTGTGGTTTGGGTCACCTGTTTTTTAGGTTGYGTGTGTTTTCTTTTTAAGGGAGAAGGCTTTAGGCCTTGTCTACGTGGGAAAAAAAAAGCATCATTTTATTGCAATTATGCTTAAAGCCAATTTAATTAATATCCTGCAATCCCTGTGTAGACACATTAAGAAGTGGCATCTGGTTTGACTTTAATTATAGTGAAAATATATTTCTGAGAAATCTTCTGATTTAAACCTCATAGTTTGAGCGAAAACTCAGTGTAGACAAGTCCTTCCTGCTACCAGGTGGTGGTTTCTGTGCGTTTCCATGCACGTTTACTATCTTTCCTGATGCAATTACCTTTAGTTGGAGTGCTGGGACTGTTGGGGCTGGGCGTTGTGCAGGGGTGCTGGATGGTGCGGTTAGGCTGGCTCAAAGCCCCCTCCCCAGGAGAGCTGCTATTTCCAGGCTGCATCTCCATAGGACACTGAGGAATTCCTTCTCTTTTGCCTGTCTGCAGCTATCCCAGCGCTGGAGCTGGTGAAAGCCCGTGCAAAGTGACAGTACTGAGAATACCCATCTCCATACTGTTTCTGCATGAGAAGGGGGAATTTCAGCTCTCCTTGCCCCTCTGTGAAGGCTGGATTTGCCCAGGTGTTTTTGTTAACCCAAGTGCTCTTACAATTGCAGAAGTTTGGTGCATTTCTTAATGCAGTCTCTTCCTAAATTTCATTTCGCTTCCATTGCAAAGTGTTTTGCTTTGGATCCTGGACCCAGCTGGAGGATCCTGGACCCTATTGCAGCCGGAGAAATCCCAGTGCAGAGGAGGACCCTGATTTCCTACCTCCCTCTGCTGCACAGACATCAACTCAGATGTGCCAGGGATCAGCAGTTATTTTTTGTCTTAGTTTCAATGCACTCAGTTGGCTGAATGAATCGAAGTCGGAACTAGAAGAAAAGCAGTAAGATTGTTAATAATTCAGTTCCCAGTTCCATCTGGACCATCTGAAAAAAATCCCTCTTTACCTTCTTTCTCTGATCCCCTATCTCCAAAGAATTAGCCAATGATTAGTAGCTTTAAAACTAGATGATATAAATTAGGAAAAATGTTTCATGTGTTGTTTTATGAGAAGGTGAGGAAGTGCATTTGAAAATGCAGGTATTCCACAGAGCCTAGATAGAAAAATATGCAAATGTCATTTATTGCATGAAAGCTTACTAATAATTCATTTTTTAACATTAATGATTACTTAAATAGGAATATTCTGAATAAAAAGAAGCAAGGGGATTTCTGTCTTCCAGTAATAGTAAAGATCTGAAACAAAATAAACTAAACCTTCTAATTAAAATTTGTAAAATTGTACTCTTTCACCTAGTCAGAGATTTTATGTGGGATGTTAAAAATGATAAAACCTGGCTTTTATTCATTACCTCATTTTTGCTTTCTGATTTTTACATACTAGACTAATGCTTGAGTGTTAAATTTGCAAAGGCTGAATTGCACTGAGTACGTATTGAGTATGATTTACATATAACAGTAACAAAACTTTGGCAGAGTATTTTAGCCCGTATTTTATCTTAATTTGGAAATAGTTCAAGTGTTTGCTTCACATTTTTTTGTGTGCTTTTGTTTTTGTATTGTAATTGATAGTTTTCATAAGAAATTTGCAGACATTTAATTCTAATATGCAGTTGTACCTTACTACAAAAGCAGTTTGTGAGGGCAAAGTTAATTGAAATGTCCCTTAAAGAACATATATTGAACTCCAAAGATAACTCCGGAGAAAAACCTAGCTTTAAAAATTTGTAGGCAGGTTGTTACGTAATAAAACAATGCTACAAAATATGACTTTGAAGGATATAAATGATTGGATTTGGTGAGAGCAAGGGCTCAACAGCATGCAGGTTGGCGACCCACAGCCAAACTGCTCAAAATCCCTGATGTATATTGAAAGAGAAGACTTAAAAACAGAAAGGGGATTTGTTTCTAACCATCTAATTGAAGAAAGCTTTGCTTGGGTATATATTTGAACTGAGATTGTATTTTAAGCCTTGTGTTTTCACCTGTCTGGTGTTCTCAGGATTTTTCTTGGAAACCCCATTGACAGAGACGTGTTGCTCTCAACTGAAAGCTCAGAGTCTCACTTTGGCTTTCTAAGAAAGTTGGAGTTCTCTGAGTTCACCGCTGACTTTTATTTGTTCTTTGCATAGTTCCTGCTCTGTTTGTATGGGGGCCTGGACACCRCTTCCAGATGGATCTCCTTGCTTCCTACAGATAAATTCAGAGCACAGGAGAGACCCCTTCTACTTTCATAAGGGCCTCTCAGTACTTGCAGTGTGGTTGTCTTTAACCTGTAGCCTACTGAAGCCCCCAAATTAGACATGTCTTTGCTTTGCTTTCCATACCCTGATGCATGTGTGTGAGTTTCTCCTGCTTCTTTGTACAGTTACAGGCTCCGCGTGGCCTCTAGATGTCCCTCCTCCTCCTCGCATAGCACCAGCAGCAGGCAATGCAAGAGATCCCACTGCACTGCGACTCCCGTCCTCAAGGAATAGACCCTTCCGCATGCGAAACAAAACAGGTACAGCTCATGGAGAACGTGCAGAACTTGCCTGTCTATATGCATGTCTATATTGTATGTCTATATGCAAGGATTGCCAAGCGCTTTACAGATAYCCTCCCAAAAATCTACATTTCTACCTTATAAAATAGGTCGTATACCTATTAGTGTCATATGTCTCCTCTTGACTTCMATCAAGTCGTTTTGTTCTTCCATTTCTTAGTTTCTCCATCTGTAACATGCAGACAATCACCTTCTTTATGCTGATAAAGGAAAATTATACTTACTTATATAATACTAAAGGTGAAAATGGGTGCTAGCAAAATCAGGATGCTGCCACCTGACATCTATTCATCGTTAGAACTGTTAAATCTATTCATTGTTAAAACTGTTAAATAYGTTTTTAAAATAACATTTTGGGAATATATTACCAAAATTAAAAATTACCCTGTCTCTTGATTAATGAAATTGGTTGCTAATGAATCACAGAATATTCAAGGTTGGAAGGGACCTCTAGAGATCATCTAGTCCAGCCTTCCCGCTCCTTTTGGCTAAGATCAAGTGTAGTGTAGTAATGAGATAGCCTTTCTGAGCGTTTTAACTGGGATTCTCTAGTTACTTCCTTGTGTTACGCTAGAGGAAACTATGACGCACTCCCTTTAATTGTGGATAACGGGTTATTTCTCTATGGATCTCATGACTGATTTGTGCTAAGCTTGAGGGAAGCCCAAGCAAAGGATAAAACAGGGGCCTTTCTCCTTACAGAGCTCACTGACTGGTCCTGGTTGCAGCTCAACAGGGCCTTATTGCAGGGAGATGTCAAGCAGTTGCTCTGATTACTTAACCTTGAAGTTCGCTCTGATTAAATTAAACTCTGTATGTGTATTTGCAGGTACTAGAAACTTTTGCCTGGCAAAGGTGGGGTGAAGCAACCCTCAAGCATTATTATCCTCTCCTGCTTTTTTCCCAGATGAGGTGAGACCGGTTCCTCGGTAGCCGAGAGGGACAGCGGTTTCCTCTGCTGGGAAGGGTGGCCCGCGGCCGTCACGTTGTCCTTCGGCCCAGGAGGAGAGGAGAGAGCGCAGTGCAGGGCTGCTGCCTTCGAGAGGATGCCCAGCTGAGGATGCTGCTGAGAGGGTGATTTCCGAGTCCCCTGCTGCGTGAGGTCCCTGCATCAACAGCCAGGGGAATGGYGTGGAGAAGTATTCACACAACTGTAGGCAGATTGACCATGTTCAGAGGGTCGACAGGTTTGGATGCGTCTCCTCTTTCTAGGTGAACAGAGAGGGGTTTAACATACTATGCAATTAAATGCGGAAAAGACTGTTGCATCGTTTTAGTTTCTACTTCACATGCTAACGGGTAAAGAACTGGGCGTCCCACAAAAAGGCGCTAAAGAGAGCGGTGAATTTTGCCGAGGTTTCCAGATCTCACGTTTGTGGGTGCCCCAGGCTCTTGACTTTGTACCATTAGCTTTAAAAGGCACGATGCCTTTGCTTTTGAAGTGTGTCAGGACCCACTTTGTTTGTTTGCTTTCAAAGTCCACCTGTTAAATGATCTCTGAAATGCACTGACAGCCAAATTTCATAAATTCTCAAGAAGCCCCCATTGCATTTGTTGCCAGTCTGTTACTCCAGTAGTGGTCACAATTTAATTCCTTAATGAGAGTCCCAGCGTGCAGATTGCCATGCAATGTCAGGCAGCGCTCTCCTCTGCATGCAGAGCTCTGTGTTTGTGGCCCTCAGCCCAAAATCTTGCTCGAAAAGGGTGACAATCACACACAGGAACATCGTCATATATACACACACATATACAGATACATATATATGTTTATGTATAACATATAATGCATATATATGTGTAAAATTGCTGAAAATGCTTTTTAAAATGAAAATTCAAAATTGGTGTAAAAGCTTTAAACAAAAAACACTTTTTTTTGTCATAAAAATGTTTTAGCTACATGTTGTTTAGCTGGAAAGAGAAGGTCTAGAGGATCTTACAATATTTAGGTAGAGGCTTTTTGGATAACTCGTATTGGAGGCTTTCTTAAGTGCAATTGTGTTAGGGAGGGAAGGTTGAGATGTTGCCATAGAGGAGCGAGAAGAGCCATAAAAAAAGCTATATCCCCTTCCCAGTTTTGSAAATGATGCTTCCAGGTCGAGACCGTGAGACCACTGACATTCAGGCTCTTCAGGAAGAGCCCGGGCCATTGCTGGCGACTCCCTGTCCTTCCTGGAAAGTCAGAGTCTTTAGGAGCTGCTCCCCTCAAAGCTTTTGGCTAGCAATAATTTCCTCTTAAAATATATGATGTGCTAATGCAAATCTAAAGCTGCAGCTTTTYGTAGCAGCCTGGAAGACTGAGATTCCCATTTTTCTTTCAAGCTAACAGAAAATGAGGCCCAAATCTGATAGGCAGCATGGTAAATTTTGCTCAGATAGCACAGAAAGTAGCAGTTTCCTGGCCTGTGTATGTCTCAAAGCTGGCCTGCACAYATAGCTCTCTATATCAGTTTGTATCTCTGTTATCTTTAGTTTTCCATGTTTTCTTTCTTTTCCTGAATGTATTTTCTCCTTCCTTTCACCATCTAGTATTAGTATGGTAAACCCTGTTGTTCAGAACGGGAATTATCTTCCTGTGGCTCTGGATAGCACCTAGATCAGTGGAAAAAAATGAATATACAGTGTTAATAGGAACCCGCTCTAATAAACTCTACCCTAAAACAATTTGATAAGGTTTTGATAAGCCTTTGATTTTACCAATGCAGCTTTGTTAGGCATTTTGTCAAAGGTCACACTTACTATATAGTTAATTCTTCACTGGTTATTTGAAGATTGCTGCTGAGGAAGAGCTTTATTGCCAGTCCTCCTTGACATCATCTGTTCTTACCAGTTCTTCGGAGACCCTCCCAACTTCCAGTGACGGTAAGCTGAATTAAGTACAAAATTTCTGGCATGGATGCTGCTGAGTTTAGTGCCTTTAAGGCATACCAATGAGATTATTAGAGTTCACTTTTGTGCAATTTATTTTCACTACTTTTTCTTTTAAGAGCGGTATACAACATAACTGACAAACTCAAGGAGAGGAGTGTGTAAATTGTTGTGATATAGGAACATTTTTGGTTTGTCACATGAGCCTGTAAATATGTATCTACAATTTTAAAAGCACGTCTTTATGTCCCTCGTTGTAAATGCTCCATTTTTAAAGTTTTATAATGTATGTTAACCAACCAAGAGATCACAGCATACAGCTTTACATTGTACTGTTCTATTTGAAGGATCARTTACAGTCTAAGCTGTGGGAGAAAAATATCCGCACCACTGATGAGAAATAACCCATGATTGCACCAAACTTTTCAGCATATTCCCTGAGATATCAAATGCAGATTTTTGGGGAAGGTGGGGAGTTGATTTTTCCTGCAAAAAGAAAAAAAAAAGTATCATTTCTCTATAATCATTAGGATATTTTCTTCAGGAAACTATGCCATTTTTTTTGCAAGGCAAAATTCCACAGTTTTCCAGCAAATTTCATCCCCCGTGCCTGCTGATGAAGCATGTGAAATTTTGTCTTTGACTAAATTTTGCCTTTGACTCTTACCACGAATTCTTGTGAAAATTTAAGGAGAAAGTGGGAGAAAAGCTCAGGTTTTGCATGTAGGAATTTGCGAGATTGACACTGGTAGCTCTGCAGGGCTCTCATGACAATAGTGATGTTGAGAAGTTAATTAAAAATAAACTGTGTGACTATGTGGTATTAACAGGTTGATGCTTGGATTCTGAACATCGTTCYGGAAGGCTGGAAACTCTATTGTCTGTCTGCCATGTAAAGAAAAAGAACAACAATAAATCAATGTGACAAACAGTATCACGGAAATATATTATTTCAGCAAAGGAAGCCTTCAGGTCGAGATCTACTATGTTCCAACTCTGAAATGGCCATATGATCTGTGGGGTTTTAAAAGATTTTTAAGATTTTTTTCTTTTTGGCGGGTGGCAGGGAGGAGGGAGACGATGGAAGTGTCACTTTGGTCTATCAAGCTCCCAAAATGCCATTAAGAGTTAGTAGTTACTGCAGAGAAGCTGTCCTTCCCCAGCRGATTTAGACTCTGGGTCCATGTGCTGCAATGAGCACCCGGGTCGCCCTGTGTAGCTTGGGCTCCTCAGCCAAAGCAGAACCTCTCACTAGGGCTTATTTCTCTTCCAGGGAGGTTTTACAGCGCTGAGGAAGCAAAGCAGCTGATATTAAAGAGACTGAGTTGTTGTCCTCTCTGAGCAGGTAAAAGCTTGAGCAGGGCTGGAAAGGTGAGGTTGCAAAGAACAGGACAACAGGCAGACTCAGCTTTACATCCGAATATTTGTACTGTAAGATATATTGCTAATAACAGCACCTCATCTACCAAAYAGTCTTCCCTTCCAAAGTCTTTCATTAACAAGAACCTTGCTGTTACTRGTCCCCATTTCTTGCATGGAGTATTTACGGAGATGTTAAATACCACTATAATGAAGCACCTATTCTGCTMGTGTAATTAATTTAATTGAATTTCATCTCTTTTGCTCACATAACCATGTGGTACATTGTTTTCTGTTCAGTGAGATAATTAGATATTGTAGAGAAACAGATACCCGTTAAGCTGGGACTTATCAAGGCCTTTTTGTCCTAACGCAAACTGCTCCTGCTCTGCTGGCGCTCTGGACACTTGGCTGCGATTGCCCGGAGCTGCTCTTTGCCATTCAGGACTCCCGAACTTCCTTTCAGCCCAACTGACGATCAGCAAGGAGGAAATAACTTGTTGCATCCTTATAAAACTTCATTCACTTATAAAATTTCATTTTCAGTGTCTTTTCCTCATTTTCAGTCTCTCTCGAAAAGCCCCAATGCAGCATATCCCAGTGATCCTGACTTATAATGCCCAAACCCAGAATCTTCCCTCTGTAAGGGGAAACTAAGCAAAGTTGTCTTAAATTGAGAGCTTATGTCTTATGTCCTAAACAGAGTAATATAGCAGAGACCAGAATGATCTGATTTAGGCTTTATAGCTTTCGTTGGGGACCGACTGAGAATAATAAAGGCATAAGGGAAATTATAGCACCATCTTCAAGTAGGAATTACCATTTTACTAGACTCGTGAAATCTTGAAGAGGTGGAAAAGTTAAGAATAGAGAGAAAGGGACTTTCAGGTAATCTTCTTGGAAATTTTCTTTAAAYTTACTCCTTTCCAAAAATCAACAGACTCTGCTCAATAACATTTTCCCCTGATGACTGGGCATCATCAGAGCAAGGAAACAGGCAGTGGGGAGGTGAAGCTTGCCCAGAAATATCTCCTCAGTTGGGAAAGAACAGGGAATGGTCTGTGAACACTTGCCCTTCTTCCTCCCTTCTTCATCCCCTTTTCTTCTCTAAGGACAAGAATATTTGACATCATTTCTTATGGACTCATAAAATAAATAACTTCTTGCTCTGTCACTGTCTTTTTCTCAGACCTTGCGAATGTCTTTTCTATGCCCCAGTTTTCCCTTGTGTAAAWGGGATTGTAGTAAACATTCCCTGCTTTGAGATTTATGGAAGAAAATACTTTACAAAGTGCAGTGTGCAATTTCGATATTATTGAACTAAATCTTGAACCCATTCATCTTTTTTTTTTCTTAAAGGCGGCTATCTGGAATTAAATTAGATAGTAGCATTAAAAGAAACATGCAGCTCAGTAAATACATCTGAACCTCAGGAAATGTTCTCTTAATTCTTGCACATCCCAGTGCACGCTAGACTTTGGTATCCGCTGGTTAGGAAAGGAGGGAAATAGCTGCAAAAATATATGTATAAATATTGCAGGCAGGTGGATGGAGTTTTTGCTTTCCTGCATGTATCTGGCAAGAAGGTTGAGCTATTTATATCTCCTTTCTGCTTGCAAGGACGGAAATTGCTCCTCTGACTTTAGCAACGAGCTGGGCAAATACGTTTYGTTTGCGTGGAATGGGCCACGATCGAGCTGAGCTGGGAAACATTTCAGTTGCTCTCGGATGGAGC